TCTCCTGCTTGAGCAGGGGGCTGGACTAGATGACCTACAAGGTCCCTCCCAACTGTGTTATTCTGTTCTGTTTATCTTTGTTGCTCTTCTCTACACTCTTTCCAACATCATTTCCACCTCGCCGTGGAGATCCGGACCCTTACTACCCTCCCGGCCTTCCGCAAAGCCACCAAGTCCTGGCTGCTCCAGCAGGCCCGGGGCGGCTTGTGAAACATCCAGCCCCACGGAAACTGTGAATGTTGCGTTTTTTAAAGTGTTATCTTTGTCTAGTTATTTCCCCTTCCCTTGTCTATTGTGAGCCACCCGGAGTCCTTCGGGAGTGGGCGGCATACAAGACAAATAAATACAATACAATACAATACAATACATAGGGCTTTCAGCCCTCTCTAAGCGGTTTACAGAGTCAGCATATTGCCCCCAACAACAATCCGGGTGAGGATCCGGGTAAGGAGAGCCTAAAGATGAAAAACTGTAAACTATTGATTGACTATGTACCAGAAATCATAAATAAGAAAAGAAATCATAAATAAAGAAATCATAAAGGAGAAAAAAATCACAATCATGACAGAATCATTATGTGCAGTGATGTAGAAAGAAATATAGGGTGTTTACCAAATAACTAGATCTTAATTAAAATATAATTTTGGGCTAAATGGATCATTCTTTTTATAATGAAGGCTCTTAATTGTCATTAAAACGGACAGATCTTGATTCCAAATCATTGAGTTTCTATGTCTTTAAGAATATTTGTTGAATGTGATATGATTTATATACGAATGTTAAGAACATTTTTACAATCATAAAATTTAATTTTTGTATTATATATTTGGTATAGGTCTTTGAATATAAATGCTAAGCTTTTTCAGAAATGGTTATAAAAATGATAATTTGGAAAAGTAATTGAAACAATGTTTTCCATTCTCTTTTCAGATCGATTGGTAGAGTCAACTGCCTTGCGCAGAGCAATAGAGACTATATATGCTGCTTATTTACCCAAAAGCACGTATCCGTTTTTATATATAAGGTAATACTGAGAAATACTTTTGCCATTGAAATTCAGTTTGGCAAGAAGAGGAGACTTTCCTTCCTAACAATCCAAAAATGTAGATGTTAGGACCAGTGCTTGATATATGAATTTGACTGGATAAGGATTACTGAATGGAAATTAAATCTGCATAAGAAGGAGGTGGTTATGTACAATGGAAAAGTTTTTGTTTGAATGTTCAAAAGTGTTGGTAGAAATAGTTCTTCCTTTACAAACAAATGTAATTAAGAGTCTTTTCTGGATCCTGACTTAAATCTGGAATTTCAGATCCCAGCTATGATCTGAATCTCTTTGCCAAAGTGGACCAGCACTTTTTTCTTTTGGAATCTCACTAGTGGTTGTGATGGTTCATGGGTATCTATTGCTTTGAATATAATTTTGCAAATTTCATTGGCTGCAAATGCTTTAGCCAGGCTTCAGTTTTATCTATTATCTGCCTGTCCATTTCAAAATACAATTTAAAATTTATTGTTAATTTGTAAAGTTATAAATAACAATACTGTGTTGTGAATATTTCTGCTGGTTGTCTTATTCTCAGAAACTATGCTTGCTACTACTTCTTATGAATAAATAATTCATATTTATTCAATATTCAATAATTCTCCCACGGAGAAAGTAGCAGATGATGGATCGCCTATCTGTCGAGATAATCTACCTGCCTTCAAAAGCCATGGTGGAAGCCGTGGAAGCCACGAAGAGGGAATGCCAGCTGGGAGCCAGGCGCAAAGCCAGCTCCTATGCATCCCTCGCAATCAGGCCAAACTCTGCAAGATGAAGCCACGGGATTTATTTCCCCTAAGGAGTTGCTGTTGGAGCCAGAAGTGGGTGCGGGATCAGCCACGAATGAAGGGGATCAGAGCAGACACCAACCAGGCGCTCCGATGATTGGGGATCCCAGCCAGTCTCACGCAGTCAGTCTCTGACCAGCCTCCCAGACCAATTCGGACAGCTTAACATGAGTGTAATCAACCCTTAGCTTAGCTCCGAACCACACAGGTAGACCATGGCCCAGCCAATGTTCGCCTTCCCAGGTCGAGACTCTGCAACGCAATGGAGTGGGGATTTATGGAAAAGCAGGTCAGCCCAAAACCTCATCATTGGAATAATACCAACAGCAGTGCCCCTTCACTCTGGGGCACAGACGGCCCATCAACTAGGATGAGAAAATCAACCCAACCAGCAGCAGAGGGGTGGGGGATTTTGGCCCTTAGCCAGCCACTGATGTTTGGGTTGCAGCCTGCAAGTCAAGTCCCACCAGAGTGGGCTTTCTTCCTGGGAAATGGATGGGCACAATACCAAGGAATGCCTGCCCTTCCTCAGCAGATGGAACCATTTCAGATAACTGAGACAACCCCAGGGAGTGACCCCTCAACAGGTTCCAGGCCAGCCACCACTGCAGGGGCATCCCCAGTCGCAATGCCCCAACAGGTTCCTGCCCAACCTCAGCGCAGGAAGCACCGCCACAAGGGGGGCTCCAGCCCCAAGCACCCACCCAACCGCACTGGCAAATCCAGGCACCAGCCCCGCCAGCTATTGTGTCCTATCGATTTCAGGCAACATTTGATAGGACCCCTGGGAAGCTAGCATACTTCTTAAATCAAGTCTCGGTGCACATTGATCAATTTGAGGATCAATACCCTTCTGACTGAGAGATGATTTCACTGATGGGATGAATAAAGGGGAAGTGGCGAAATAGGTAGCAAAGTGCCACGAGAGATGGCTTCTGAATTAGAAGATGCAGACAGGTTTGTTCAGCTGATTGGAATCCAATTTAGCAATGTAGCCCAACAAGTGGAAGCAGAAGAGCAGATCCAAGGTTTGCGACAGGCTGGCTGTCCCGTGAAGGAATTAGCTTAGGATTTTAGAAGGGCACCCGAAAAACTAAGGGACTGGCCAGAATGATTCCTTGTGCACACATTCAAAGATGCCCTAGATCCTGAACTGAGAAAAGCATGCAGCAATAAGGGGAGTGCCAGAACAGATCCAGAATTGGTACAATACTGCAGTCATTCTTGATCACAAATTTCACCGTCATCGAAAGCCCACTGCCGAAAAGCCGGCTAGAAGAACTTTGGATCACTGAAGACAAATGAAGCAAGCCAAAACGCCTGCCACCAAGTCTGCAGAAGCAATAAAATGTTACCAGTGTGGTCAACATGGACACGGAGAATCTGAATGCTTGGCCCCAGCCCCAGTCCCACTAGTGTGCACCCAAGCCGCCAGTGAGACAAAAAAGGACCCCCAACCCCCCCTGAAAAGAGTTGTCTCACCCAACAAACAGAAGGATCCGATGCCCAGTCTGAGGAGACAGAGACTCCGCCAGATGGAGAAACCCCTCCCAGTTCAGAGGAGGAAAAAAGCAGCGGGTGATAAGTGCACCCATCTGTCCCTTTGCCATCAAAGCCAAACTCATAGTGCCCAAGACTGGGGTAGAAGGGAAAGTTGAGGCAGTCGTGCTTAATCAGCATGTCCATCAGGAAGCAGCTGGGCATAGGCACAAGATCCTTAGCCAATCCCATTCAGCTTGAGCAAGTGGACGGGACGCTAATTGGAGGGGCCACCACCAATCTAATTACCAACTTGGTGAAGTTGCAGATAGGGCGCCACTATGAACTTTTTAGATTCATCATAGCACCAAAAATAAATGAATCAATCATCTTGGGGCTTGAGCCTGCATTTAACCACTGAGCCAAGGTGGCGCAGTGGTTAAATGCAGCACTGCAGGCTACTGCTAGATCAGCAGTTCAGCGGTTCAAATC